GTTTTCCGCAACATTCGTTTTATTAAATTTGACAGCACCTCATTACCAGTAAACTATGTCTTGAAAAGAAACATTGTACACGTTCTGGGTTTTTTGTTTTTGTTTTTGGTAAATCATTAGTCTTTGCTTTCAACTGTGCAGCCAAGTAAACCCACAGACTGGTGTCCTTTGCGAAGCACAGCAAGAAGTCTGATCCCTTGTTGAAAACAAAGGGAATGGGGACTTGCAGCTTTGGAATTACAAAGCTTTATGAGCCTGTCATTCCAATAAATCCCAGGTTTGCTCACAATGCTTTTACTGGGCAGTGACACCTGTTTTAGAAACACGTGGAAACCACTTGGCTCAGGAGCTATTATTGAACTGTATTTTATCCAAAGTTTGACTTTGTTCATTTGGTGCTTCTGGCTCATCGACAGTCAGTGCTGGAAGTACTGTAGTTTACACGCTGTGTTAGTTAGTTAGGTGTAATAAATGAAATGCCCCGAGTAGAACAGTTAGATGGGAGTTTACTTTCTGCCTTTTAACTTCAGTATTTACAGTTTACCACAGAAGAGACAGAAGTACAGACCAGTCTGAGAGGTTTCATATTTCATTGGAGCACGATCAATATTTTACCTACTTTCACAATAGAATAGGCATGAATACAATGAGAAGCTCTGCATTGCTGAAAAGTTTCTTGTTTCATATATAAACGTATGTGTACATTTTGTGTGACTTTTGTAGTGTTGTCTGCAGCAGTACTTATTAACACTTTGCACAGTGTACTAAAGCTAAAGCTGCATATTTAAGGAAAGTGTCAAAGTGAACTACTGGTCATTGTGACACAGCACATCACTGTGACACAACCAAATGTGACCTCTGGTTTTTAACCCATTACCAAAGTGAACAGTGGGCAGCTTTAAGAACCTGGGGAACAGTGTGTGGGGACAGTGCCATGCTCAGAGCACCTCAGTGGTAACTTGGCAGCCGTTGGGACTCGAACCTGAAAACTTCCAGATCCAAGTCCGCTTCCCTAACCATGCCACCGCTGCCCCTTTTTTATTAAAGGGGAGTGCAGAAATTTACATTTCTGCATTGCATGATTGTTATTATGGTTATATAAAGCTTGCTTTTCATATTTTTTTATTTCTTAGTTTCATGTATTCTACTATGAAATACTCTCGTAGGAGCAACGTTAGATTCCCCTTTTTTATTTACATTTCCAGGATATCCAAATATGAATTCTTGTCACAATTCATTTTTGCAGTCCAGAATGATCTTGACCTGTGTTTTATCATTGTTGTATGTGTAGCCATCTGCTTTTTTGTCCTTTACATCTAATTTTAACCAATCCAAAGAGAACATTTGTCCGTACATGTGAAGGAAGGTCATTCAAAAAACATTTTTACAGAGAATTCCAGTTGCTTCTGTTCATAAAAATATTAGGGACAATCAAGAAATGATTTTATAGTGTCCTTGATGCACTAGAGCAGGCAACGCTGTGTACTGTCCCTTTAAGGGAACGAAAGCTTGGAATCACTTGGTATGATAGAAGTGAAATGATTCATTCTCAGAGTGGCTGTCCAAGCTGAAGCGAATGAAATGGAGGTTAAAAATGTTTCCTGGAAAATAAAAAAAACAACTGATTTTATTAGGATTTATCATCAGGAAAACATGAACTTTCAGTGACAATTCATTTTGTTTATTTGTCCAATTACTTCAAGAAATCGACCGCAGCCTGCATGGCTCTGTATCTGGTTTTGATCTGTGAATCTCAGAAAAGGTCAGCGTATCCAAAAGTGTGTTCTTCAGCTTATTCTCTGTGGTAAATCTCACTCTGATAAATCCAGTCATTTTTTTACATGACATGTGTTTCAGACCACAAATATCAGTGGGCACCGCTGGTTAGGCCGGGGGTCATGAGAGTCAGCAGGGAGTCAGTATTACAACCAGGAGTCGCTGAGGTATTTATGTGAGGACCTCAGTGGTGGACAGTCTGTGACAGCACAACATTCCCCGCCCCACAGCGCCACTGCTGGCTTGGCTGAAAGCCAGGGGTCATATTGTGTGCGTTCAGGGCCATAAAACCCAACCAAGTTAGTCTGGAATGTAGCACCACCAGTGTTTAAGGCCAAGCAAATAGAAGCCGAGCCATAAAGTGCCATGTTTTTCTTGTTGAATCCCTGCACAGTCAATACGTCAATATGCAAACACGCTCTATACGATTTTGTAAGTCACCCTGTATGTCAGGAGCGAAGCCAGCTAATGGGTACGTCAGAAATGCTGGTTAGCCAGTTTGTCCTATCTGGTGCCATTTGCTAATGCTAACAAACAACATTTACAAATCTATGCAGTGTCATGTAACAAAGCTTACAGCCACTGGAATATTGAATGAGAGGCATGTAGCTGAGGTCATCTGAAGTTGGTCAGCGGGAACAGCCAATGACTGCTCCACCAGTGTGACCCTCCCTGACTGTGCAAACATTTGGAAAGCTCGTTAGAGTCATCTGAACCAATAGGAAAACACAGGAAAGAGTAATGAATGACACGTCAAACTCATTACCACTTTACTTTTACGCCGAAATTCAAACCGGTGCCACTCTCTGTTGTTAAACTGTCAACTTATTAATCACCTCCTCCATTGCCTGTTTTCTCAGCGGCAACTTTACCTTCCCAGCAACCTTTGCTTTCAGCCTTTTCACCATTCATATTTCGCATCTTAAGACTCCTATCAGGCCACAAAAAACGCGTCGTGTTGACCGTCGCCCAGGCAACGATTTACTCACAACACCAAATACATTTGATTGTGAGATTAGCGCTCCACTCATTTAATACAACCTGAATAATGATTAATTGGCTCTTGATAAAAATCAGCATGGCACCCGCCCTAATTGGTTCCAAATAAGTTTTTATTTAACATTATAGTAATTAGCTCTTTGTACAGGAGCGGTGTCCTCTATGATCACGCTGCCATGAGTAATATCTCCAAAATAGACTGCCTTTTTAATGCCCTTATTATGTGCATTGCCTGAAATTTGTGATAACACATTGTCAGTCGTTACATTTCACTAATCACAGTGATCATCAAGTCATTTATCAAACCGAAAACTACGTCTCAGTTGGTCTGATTAGTTAAAAATGCTGATACAAACTGATTTTTTTTTCTTTTTTTCTTTTTTTACTGAAAACTCAAGAGTAATTTAGGCATAAATTCAGGAAGCTCATTGAGCGGCTCAGAATGAACCACCATTATGTTTCTGTCATCTCCAGACACGAGGGACTAAATCAGACTGAACCACTGCCTTTATTTATCTGCAGTGAAGGCACCACATTGGACCCAGATGTGGACTGTATTTCTGGATCATCAAAGGCTTCAGGTCAGTCAGTGCTTTATTGCGCCAACATATGGGCAGTAATCACATTGTGCTGTTGATGTGTTGTTTTCATAAAAGAATATAACAAAACAGTGAAGGGTTCTTAAAACCATCCTGAAAGTTCCAGTGATCATTTAAGTGCGGGATCAGTCGTTATTTGGACTGATGACATTGTAAAAGGCTCCCCGTGGCTCACATTGCGTTCACGTTGCCCATTACAGCCAGACTAAGAGAGCATAAGCTTACAATTGCATTTCACACTTTGATGATTATGTTGAATTTTAATGAATAAACGGTGCGCTGAAATATATGGTAATGTAGAAATTAGCAGTCGACTCCACTGTGCGCCTGAGGATGTGCAGAGAACAGAAATGACACAGACAGGTTGAGTCAGAACGAGCAGTCGCGGTCTTGTGCTCCGACTTTTCCTAGAACTACAGTATGAGCCAGTCACTTCTGGAAACTCTTAATGCTAGGACTGGGTGCCCTTTTTCACTAATGTAACCTTCAGAGTGTGAGAGGTGACTGCGTGTGCTGTTCACTGTACTCATTTTAAACGCTCACTTCAAAACATGGCCCCAAGGGCCTCATTTGGGTACGGATGGCGCTTCACAGTCAACATTTGACCTTTAAAGCCCCGAATGGTTTTCCTTCAGCTATTTCACTGTTGCATATGCACTTTTTTTACAAGAAGAATATGGATTGCAGATGGCAATAGCTTTTTGGATTGTTTTCATTAACTTTTTTTTTTGTGCTCTCAAGAACTCAAGCTTTAACCTACTGTTTTCCAAATAAGACCAATCAAAAACAGACTTCAAAAAAAAATTTTTTTTGAAGCTCATGAATCAGTTTTTCTTGCCGTCACTGCTTTGGGGAAGCCGAGTGCAAATCATTCAGCAGAAGAAATCCACATGTTGTTTTTATCATCTGTGACATGGCCGTGCTTTTGCTGCTCCCAGCACAGTATGTGCTACTTGAAATTTGGTCTTATCTTGTCTGTTTCCACTATTGTCACTGCTTGTTCTGTAATTTTACTGCTTCTGCTCAAAAAACTCATAAAACAAATACTCGTGTGCCACACCGCACTGGGGTTAAGATATATTTGTACCAGTTTAAAACTGTTTTAATCAACGTCTTTCAGGGAGCCAGAGTGACCTCCCATGTCCTTCCTGCCACATTTTGAGGAAATCACTTTTTTGGCTTATCACCTGTAGCCTAAAGAGATTTGCAGGCTGCCGGCCCCATGAAACCAAATGATTTCAATCTTACCCCAAACACTGATAACTATCAACCCCTCTCTCCTCTCAAAAAAGGAAAGACATATTGCAGCATGCTGTGGCAAACACCTACTACCTTTTAGATGTATTCCCCTACATGGTTAAAAAAAAAAAAAGTAATCACAGGGGACTAAACAGCTTTCGTGAGCAAAGAAGTTGTTTATAACAGATCTGCACGAAGTGGAATGGATTCACAGCCGCCGCCGCTGAATCTCTATGCTAATTTGTTTTGCATTGTTAGCTTCAGTCTTCCCCACAGTGAGACAAAAATCCAACTCCTTCTGATGGCGTTGATGTGCGCTGCACGCTGCAAAAATAGCAACCCTCCACATCCCAGAAACCGTGCATGACCAATGCAGTGTCTGAAGGAGTCGTTAATGTCAGACGGAAGTGCATTTCTGTGATTGAACTCCTTTTATGTTCGCTCTAAACTGAGCTCAAGATGTTTTTGTTCACCTCACAGAGGCTCTTCTTTGTGTGGGTCTGCATAAAAAGCCTTTGTGTGTTTTGGGGGGAGTTTTTCTACTGATGGCATTAATAATATGGGAAAATGTCCAGAAAAATCGGATGTTCCCCTCAGGGGGCGCCACAGCAGATCTTCTGCCTCCTCTTCTTTTACGTCATCCACCTCCGTGTTCTCTTTACAACATCCACAAATGTCTTCTGAGGTCTTTCCTGGCAGCTCTACCTCCTTCGTCCAATATACATTCACTATCTCTCTTCAACACAACATGTCCAAACCATCTCAACTTCACCTCTTACTTTATCTCCAAACTGCTCCACCTTAACTGTCCCTCTGATCCTGTCCATCTTGGTCACTCCCAGTATCTTCACCTCCTCCACCTCCAACTCAGCCTTTTGTCTATCAGACAGAGCCACCGTCTCTAAACCACACATCATAGCAGGCCTCACTGCTGTTTTATAGATCTTCCCTTCTTTCCTTCATATATCTTCCCTGACAATCGTCTCCATCCATTCCACTCTGGCCACACCTTTTTCTTCACCACCTTAAAATCTGTGATTCGTTTGACAAATGAATTAAGGAGAACAACTCCTTCATTTTCTACTGACCATCATCTATGGAGCTAGGGGTTTTCAAGCTGAGGTTTTGAGTTGCAAGGCCTGTTGTTCACACTGTAGATTGATTTGAGTTTAGCTTATAGAAATATATACTGTAATAATTGATATAAAGGGAAAACTCTTATGAAATGCAAAAACCTGGAAAGTCCAAAAATCCACTTCTTTTCTGCTACTTTCTAATGAGGGAAAAGTCCCATATGGTCCGTGGGCTGTCCTGAGTGACTCAGACACTATTTCCGGAAAGACATTGCTGTCAAGTTTTTTTTTTTTTTAGTCCTTATTTTTAGAAGCATCGGCTCGATAGCTGCTGGTGGGTTAGGGATGAATTCACAGAGACGGCTATCTTTAAAACTAGGCCTCAACACCTCAGCGTGGCTGATTCCACTAAATTCAGATGAGTTTTTTTCATCCCGTCTCTTTTTAATTTGGCTGCATTAACCTTTTTACTTCAGGTCACTTAAGCATCCACTGATTGTCAGCGTCATTTTTGAAGCTCAGGTGCATGCAACAAATCACGAAATTGAAAACAGCAAAGAGTTATTGAAACAAATTGCCTATGGTATAACAGTGACTGGCAGACGTATTAAAGAGCTCAGGTGCGTGGCTGTGGTGGTTTTAATGAATGGGCCTAAGTGTTGTCAGATGCCCATCAGGGTACAATGGTGGGGTGACAGGGCTGGGCTGTTCCATCAGTCACAGTGCAGTCGGGGGTCAAAGGTGACCCTGGCACCCCATCTGGCTCAGAATCCACTGATAGAGTGGAGAAGGAGGGGTGAGTGCTGAAAGGAGTGATTGTGATCATGTTGGTGCAGAGAGGTCAGGCACTCCCGTTGGCTTATGAAGATGGATTTGGATGTAAAGGGTCTGATGCAAGCATATGAAAGAAGAAACATATCCAGACACATTCGTGTGAACCGGAATTAACGAGGCGGCAAAGGAAGAATGGCCCTAAAACCTCTGAAATTCCACTTTAAATTGAAAACAAAAGATTTCATTTTGACAAGGTCTGATTAAAAGTATCCATTTAGGATCTGACCGTACTCACGGAGCCCAGTCTTCTGCCGTGTCAGCACAAGCCAGACAAACGTAAGTGACATTTTGCGAATCACAAAATAAACGCCCATTACATATTTTTAGAATGTATTCCCCCGTTCTGCATTGTAAAATTATATCTCCATAATTTGTCAGGCTGAGGGACCACACTGCCCCCACCACCCCACCCCCTTATATAGTAAACTACATGTTATGGAACCGCAGTAAGCATTAAATTTCAATCTAAGTGGCATTAAAGAGTCCTGACAGGTGGTCTTAAAACCTGCTCTTTAAAGTGGTCTTAAAAGTCTTTACTTTTATTAAGGGGAACTCTGACTGTCCTGTGACAGAAGAAACAAGCTGTTTCCCTCATTTAGATAAAGTTGTCCTGGAAATAATCCAAAATGGCCCTGAATTGTTTTTCCACCAGACAGGAAAGAATTTGAATATTACCACTCTGATGTCAGCGGTATAGATGTTAGGTACAGGAAATGAAACACATTTTTAGTTCAACGAACGAATCTCTAAAAATGTGTTAAATTGACTTTTCAGTGATAAAAGTCCATTTATTTTGATTTATTTTTAACCAAATATCTCATCTTGACCATGTGACGATGGTCAAACGACCTCCAGAATACACGTTGCTGTGACTTTCACCATCCGCCGTCTCACACACATGCACGCATATTCTCTCCCAGAGGACCGGGGTCAGGGGTGATCTGTCACACGAGGCACTTTGATTGTAACAGATGAAGACACACAGGCTTCCTCACACACACACACAGCCTTGTGTCCCAGTGAGGCTGGCAGGGTCCTGACCTGTGTGACCAGGCTCGCGGGCCAGGCAGGCATATGGGCCAGGAGCCTGGGGGCAGCCAGATAGACAAAGAGCTGATTGGCACACTTTAAGGATAAACACACATTGTTTATCCAGCTTTTAATCAGGAAATGAAGGGGATGCATCCATTCGGGTATGGCAAGTTGCCTCACCCACAACCCCCCCC